AATTCCAAATGATAATAGTTTTGAAGATTTAACGTGTCACACTTGGAGTGATCAATTTAGGAAGTAAAAAGTTCATACAATAAAAACTAAAACTTGACAAAGGAAAAGGCTGATGTTTGCTTAGGTGTGGTTGAAGAATTTGTGTAAAAAAAAATTAAAATAATATAGTGATTAAATCACTTCAGAAGAGTGGTATCATTAACACAATAGACGGGATTAAGTTTTTTCTTATGGGATGTTTTTATTTTAATGTTTTGAGTTCTTTTGTATTTTGAACAAGATGTACTATAACTGGCAGTACTTGTGAAAATTTCACCGTCTTCCTATTTAAATTCTCTGATAAATCATAATTCTTAATTTGAATGTCTACCATTCACCTATGCTAAAATATTGCTGCCACATATGGTTCGATGCCACTGCTATTTAACTTCAGCTCCTTGATAAAATCCAAAGAAGTATCAGCAATATTATTAACCCTGATCTGGCGTCTTGGCTTCACTCACTTTCCCATCACTGTAAGGTTGCTTCTCTGTGCCTTTTCTATAAATACTTTCATGGTAATTGTTCGGATGAGCTCTTCACTATGGTACCAAGACTTCTGAATTTAAGCACAGTATTAGACTGGCATCAAGATCTCATCAATTTACAGTCGAGTTGGCTAGACGTAGCTGTAAGTTCTATGCTAACAGTTTCTTTTCTCACACGTCTCACTAGAGGAACACCCTTCTGGCTCCATGTTTTCCAGCCAATTTTAATCTGCAAAACTTTAAATGCAATGTCAATCACTATCTACTGTCCTCCTAATTATTCTTTACTCTTCCTGTTTATTATTAATGTTTCTGTTCCTAATTCTTCCACACCCTGTAACCTCTTGTGTATAAAATACCTGTGAAAATTTGCCTATTGCACCATTAAATATTTGAGATTAACAAAATATTGCAATAGGCATAAGTATGAATGCAAGTCATTAAAGTAGGGGTAAATAATAAGCTTTCATTTCAGCTTTAATTGAAAGCTAAAATATTAAGTTTACTATTTCCAGTAAGCAAAAGACTGATGTATTTCAAAAAGAAATTATATTGACTGGAATTGGTGCTTTTTTTTATTTTTTGTAAAATAGCTGATCTTTCATTGCAATGTAATTCTTTGTATTAAAAAATCTTCCAATAATAAAATATACTTTTCAGAAACTTTATTTGAGAAATATTAGCCGATTTAAAGTATCCGATTTGAAAAAAAAATTATTTACTTTAAGTTGAAAATAACAGATTTTTAAAACAAATGGTAGTGATGATTTACATGCTTTTTATCACCTAATAACAAGCACTAATAAGGTGTTGGCAGGTTTATTGTTGTTCTACAGAGACTTTATCTCTTAAAACATAAATTAATAAAATGACAGGTGAATGCTTTTTATATAATTTTTAAGTACTCGGTAATCTTTTATATAATTTTTAAGTATTCGGTAATCTTAAAAATGTTGGAAATATTCTCCATAATCTAATTTTAGGATTGTTGACTTTAAATTTACTACCATAATCAATCTTATTTTCTGATAATGTTGCGTATGGTCACCCACATGACCAGGTTTATATGCATAAAAAAAAATTTTAAATTATTTTTAAAATCTTAGTGCATGATGATTTGTATTGAGCTTTCCAATTTTCACTTAGTAAATATAGTCTTCACTTAATAACTCAATGAAGAGGAAATTTTGAAGAATTTTAAAAATATTTTCCAAACTTTATAAAGTATTTTAATAAAAAAAAATTAAAACAATTACTGTAAAAATTCTTTATTCATCTAATAATTCTTTCTTCAGACTATAATATCCTTAATATATATTATTTACAAAAGCAATTAAAAGCTTATCTAATTAAATAATGTCAGTTTTATAGCAGATTTTATGATTCCGAGCAGATTTTGGGAAACTAAGTAACTGTCTGGAAAAAAAAAAAAAAAAAAAAAAAGGAAAGAAAATGGATGATTCACATTCTCCAAGGAGTCCTGCATTTAACTAATATAACAAATTTAGAAGATAGAATTTAATTTCTAGAAATTAAGTAAGTGATGGTTGTGTAACATATGTAAAAAAAAAAAAAAAAAAAAAAAAAATGGTCTTTCTAAAAATAATAATTTCAAAAATAAATTCATTTATTTACAAATAAGTCCTAAAAATGTCATTAAAATCTGACAACTATTTGATTTTTGCAAGAATTTCAAAATTAATGTCATTTTACCAGAAAAAAGGTGCTAAAATTTCCATAGTCAACTTTGTTACACCAAGATTTTTTACCAAAATTTCAAATGTATTAGGAAGGAGTAAAAAATTTTAAAAAACAATTAAAAAATATTTAAGTCTCTTCTCTTAATATTAACAAACATTTTGACTATAAAACTTTGTTTTTATTAATTTTGGAGCCTTTTTTCATTATGCTACGCTGTTTTTTAGCAAAAAAGTGGAGGTACCTAAATTAAAGAGAGTAAAAATGAAAAGATTCAAAATTGACAAGGCTTTCCATTTTACTGAAGCAGACATTAAATGTATGGGAGAGTTATCCCCTTCTTTATCTGCCCCTTTTTTTTCTTCTTCACTAAAACTAAAGTTTCTCTAATTAGTATTTATTTATCTCCCTACTGTTATAGGATGAGACACAAAGATGGTTCAATATGGGGTGCCCATATGCATACATACAGACCAAGGTCAAAAACTGCCCACACCCAGTGATGACTGGCATTGGTATCATGAGTTACCCCACTTGGCTTTGCTAGACACCCGTTAGATGGCATTAAGTTCTATAAAAAGATAAATATTTGCTTCCTCAAGATGTAGCAGTATGTAGATGAAGGGGTTCCCACTGGGAAACATTCCTTTCCCTTGGTCAACTGATGACTGAACACTCACTCACTCACTCACCACAATTCTTAAATAGCTAGGTTTTTAATACCTAGATTTTTCCTTTTCAACTGTGTACACATTAATGTAATTTTCCTTTGTTAATACATGCATTATTTCTTCTTTGTTTAAAATCCATGGTCTTTACTTATTTTTATCCGGACACTTGTGTCTGCTAAATATTGTTTGCAGGACAAATGCATCAGGAGCATGTTTACAGAAAAACATCCACACCAGACAACAAAAGTACTGATTCTCACAACAGTACCCACCCACACTCTCTTTATTGCAATCAGGAAAGTGCTGTGGTCGTGTTGGAATTCCCAGGACCAGCTTCTCCATAGTTTACAGATATCTTATGGCTGAGTAGCCTCTGATATCTTTTTCTTACCTTTTGCTTTCAATCAAAATCGAGTAGTTCTTAGTTAGTCTATTATTTAGAAGATAATGGCACGGTGTAACGTTCATAAAAAATTACCAAAGGAGGAACAAGCAAACATTTTATGATTTTTAAAGTATTTAATTTTTGCTCAATAAAAAATCTTTCAAATACGACTATAGCATTTTTTTTTTTGTTTAAAGTTTGTCTTCAGAATAAGGTGGGTCTTATACACCGGTGACTGTTATGTTCTGAAAAATACAATATTTCTCTAATCCCGCCTGACGTTTCATGGCTGTAGCAAGAAAAACAAGTCGATCTGAACATTCAAAACTGGAAAAAAATCGAAACTACTTCTGTTATTTGGTGACAAAATTTTTAACATGAATTATTTTGGAACAAGTCATTAGTGAAGAAGGTAAATTCATAGAATATGTGGCAATTTATTTTTTAAACGTTGCGTCGTTTTAAAAAATGAGTACCTTACACAGCTTTCATATCTTGAGCTATCCTTTTTAAATTGAGCTGAAATTCATAACGCAAAAAGTGCATCAATTACATTCAAAAATAGCCATCTTGAGTCACCCCCATTTTCTACACCCAAAAATCCCCACCCGCCTCTGCTATACCGGTGAAAAAAAAAAAAAAAAAAAAAAATCTCTCACCGAGTAATGCCCAGCCTGTGGGTTAGTGACTTAGAAAACCAAAATATCTTTAAAACTTTTTATTTATTTTATTTTTGTCTAGTACTAGTTTTACTATTTCTCAATCTTAAAAATCAACGGCAGATTCTGAAACTTGGAGAAAATATTTAGTCACTGAGGAAGAATTTTAAAGGGAATCAAATTTATTTGCAAGAATAAAAAAAATCGAAGTCTGTAGATTATTCTCGGATTTTTAAAAGAAGGAAATGTTAAAAAAAATAAAATAAATAAAATTTGTCTCCTATTCTTGCAACGAAACCCGTTTATCAAATTCTGCCCAAAATTTTTTTTAAAAAGAATTTAAAAAAAAAAAAAAAAAAAAAACTTAACTAAAGTGTAAAAGATGTATTTTTGCTAATTTAAAATAAAAGATAAAATAATAGATTTTTATCTCAGTAATAATATTAAAATATATAATTTAGTATAAATTTATAAATATTTTAGTTAAACAGGTTTAAAAAAAGCGCGAAATTCTTTTAAGAAATAATTAAAAAATTAATTGTAATGGACATTTTCTTCTATAAAGTAAAGTGCGATGTGAAATAATGGGAAATCCTTACCTAATTCTCAAAAAAATCATTTAGAAATTAAAAAAAAAACAAACAAACAAAAAGCTTCCTAAAATATAAATAAATTTAAATTAAAAACATTTTAAGGCTTCAGTTTGCTCATTAATTTTTTTTTGTTATGAAAACAGAAAATCTTTAAAGAACATCAATTTAAAAAATTCCATTAATTATCGTAATTCATCGATCTTTTTTTTAATTAAGCACAACTTAACACGGCCAAATCAAAACATAAAAACGTTCCACTTTCTTTTCTTAAATACAAATGAAAATAAATATCAAAGCAGAGGAAATTATTTTTAAAGCATTTTTCTATCCATTCTATTCACAAGAAAAAAAATGGGGAAAATCTAACTTGGACAAAAGCCGGCCTCGTGTGCAACCTGATATGTTTTTATTTTTTATATATATGTTTTAAATAGTTTAGTTGATAAATAAAGTTTCTTCTTTCTCACCTGTAATATTTGAATGCATTCACAATTCTGACAAAGTGCTCTTTTTCCAATTCGTCAGCATCCTTAACGTTATTTTCTTCCGCCATGCTTAAAGCTCAACTCACTATTTTCGGGAAATAACAGTAGGCAAAGATCGAATGATACACTAATGAAAACAACGGAAGCCCCCAAACGCCACAATTTCTCTCTCACCAGTGACGTTTGACTACGAGTGTTACGAAAATTAAGCGTCCTTTTTATTTTTCTTTGTTTTTGAGGGGGGTTTTGTTTTAGTCTTATATCTGTTTTTAATTTTTTGGAGGATTAAGGAATATCCTTATTTCTTTTTTTTTTCAGAATTTATTTTCGTAATAAGGACTACTGTTTAAGAAAATTAACTCTCTAATTAACTAAACCTTAAAAAATTGTGAAATTAATATTTATTTAGAACGTGTAGTATGCATTTTAGAAGTGAATTGTCATCTTTTTTAATTACAAAAATTATTCGGAAAATGTTTTTAAGTTGGTTTTTTAAATGGTTTTTAAACAGAATTATCGCGTAGAAACATTCGAATGTTGTTTGGTGGCGTGTATTATTATTATTATTATTATTATTATTATTTTACTAGGTCTCTAATGGTCAATATTTTTTTAAATCTAAGTAAAATTTTGATTGTTCTCATTTTCAAAACAGGAAGTGGTATCTCTTTCAAGTGGAAGATTGATACAACCTGTATTCTTAACCATAATTAATTAGGCTTAGAGAGTTAAATTAAGTTCAAATCAATAAAAAAAAAGTATTGGAATTTTTTAAAATATAGTTTAAGTTATTCATAGTTTATTTTTTCCATAAATTTCTGTGGAAATTTTTTAAAAGTACTGCGCAAAAAGTTTCTAAACGTTGTGAAGTTTGTTGAACCCATGAAAATAAAATGTGAACACGAACACAAAACTGCTTGAAGGCAGCTACCATAGCAGGATATGTTTCTAGTTTTTTCTTTTACAAGCTCATTTTACAGATCTTTTAAACAGTGAATTTGATCCTTATTGGTATTGGATGTTCTACACTTGACGTTGTGTCAATCTTTCTAGACTGAGTTTAATTAAAATTAAAAATACCTCTTGATAATAATACTAATTAAGCTGCATGTGCAAAGCAATGTTCAATTACCCCTTTTTTAAGGAATGCACATCTCTAGCTGGCACCTTTCGAAACCCATATCTGCTAACTTTATTTTCGTATCCGAAATGTAAACAAAGTAATTTTTAAAGAATAAATGAATGTTTTTATTTATAATCCGACATTATTTCTTATTACTTTTTAGTGGCTTCACGTGTGAAAGTAGAAATCTTTGTATTTTTTTCTTTTTTCTTTTTCTTTAAACAGGGATGTTGATGTTTATTGTTTACTAAAAACAGTACATGAGCATAAATCATGTTTTGTTTGAAGTTGACGAGACATGGTTCTTTCGGCACTTTGAAAGTTATATAGCCATGTCTTCTCTTCTGTTTGAACGTCTCTGATTCTGAAAGTCGAAATCTGTGTAGGTTTTCAATGAATTTCTTCCCGAAAATAAGGCTTTAGTTTTCTCTGATTTGTTAAATGATGAGGTCCGTTAATTTTTAACCAACAGACACTTTGATTTATGTAATGATTGCGTTTAGAAATAGGGTTAGTTTCCTATAGCCCCACAACATTACACACATTACAAAAATATTGCCTTATAGACTCCAAACAACATAGCTGCAATGTTTCTGACGCCAAACAGACCGCTCATCCCTAACATTGTCACAACGCTATGGAAATGTTGCGAAGTACTGTAGTGAAAATATTCAGCATTGATCAAATAACATACAGACTAATAGAAACTCTGTAAAAATTTAGTTTAAAATCTTTCATTACTGTATTAATTATCCATTATTTATAATTCATAACATAGAAAAATTTTATAATGAAAAAGAGAAAGTTATATAAAAAAATACTCTGTAACCCGGATATAAGAGAGTTGTCGGGACCGGAGAAGAAGTCTCTTATATCCGGGTTTTGTCTATTTTATATACATTAACACAGGCTCTAATTTGGGACCAGAGAAAATCTCTCTTATATCCGGGTTTCTCTTATATCCGGGTTACACTGTATAATGAAAAAGAGATGTAAAGTTATATAAAAAAAATACTAGTGTAACCCGGATATAAGAAAGTTGGCGGGACCGGAGAAGAAGTCACTTATATCCGGGTTTCTCTTATATCCGGGTTTGGTCTATTTTATATACATTAACACAGGCTCTAATTTGGGACCAGAGAAATTTTCTCTTATATCCGGGTTTCGCTTATATCTAGGTCTCTTATATCCGGGTTACACTGTATAATAGATTAAGTTAATTACACAGTATCCTTTGAGTGGAGTGTTTTAAAAACATTTATTAACAAAAGAAAGTTAATGTATACTTTTTAAATGTAAATAAAATACTGCTATAATGAAGCCAGATAGCTAATAAAAAATGGCTTGAATAATTTGATATTGTAAAAGAACCGCCAAAATGAAATCTAGCGGTTTATGAGAGATACATGTGTAGTTAATCCCGACGTACCTCTACAGATAATAACCCCAACGTTGCATTGAATAATAATCCTCTACAGATGGTGTACCGACGTTTCGATAAATATGTTATTTTCCGTAGATTAATCACACCGATCTTCAACGGAGCATAGCATATACGAACAATTTTATTGAGATAATAACTTCAACTATCTACCATGACCGAATCAAGTGAAACACACATCGAGGCAGCAATCACCGTTAATCTACCCTCATATAACCAAATCCTCTACTGTTACTATTGACATGTTGAAGCCAGCGTTAATTGACGTCACTCATCAATCATCTTCCACTGCTAATCAGTCTTCTTCTACCCAGGCGACACTTCCCCAACCACACCCTTATGACTATGTCTGGTAAGCATGTCCACTGGCCTACCGGATTAAAAAAAAAACAAAAAAAAAACATATTACACATATTGAAAACTTTCTTCGAAACTTTTACAATCTGCAGGGAGGGGCGTTAGAATTTTAATTCTACAATTCTGTGCAAATACCATCACTACAAGATTTTGTTAAAATCTGCGAAAATGCCATCTAAAAGTGGATCACAGCAATATTCTTGGGCAAAACCAGCTCCACGCGTATTTTCCAAGAATTCGCTTGCTGATTGGTTCATAAACAAGCAAGTGAGCATCGCTATCCACCCACGTACATCTATTTTTCAACACGTGATCGAGTTAAATATTTTGGCGCTAATTTTCTGGAGCCTATCACATGTCCACTCAAGTAAATAAGTTCAGCACGCAAACTTATCTTATTAGTGAGCATCGTAACCACAAACTAGTTACTAAACAAATCCCCGTTACTTTATCATTTGAAGTTTTTAAAGTTACCTTTTAACATAACCCAAACCTTCAGACATCACTCACTCATCTTCATATTTAATTCCGTTTATTACACAGCAGAGAATTGCTTATCACTTCAAGTTCTCAATCACAGGACATTATGTCTCTTCTGAATTTGCTCAAACAATTCAACATAAAAAAAAAACCCCAAAAACGGTCAAAGGAAGATAACTTTTAGCACGACTAAATTTATTCCAAACTACATTGAAAATGTACATTGCACAAAATGGTTTAAATTCCACATAAACAGATTATCACTTTCACTGACTTTGTTAACTTTTCATCACAACAACTTCAACATACAATCTTTCACTTAAACTCACAAACTACATTCCAAACACGTCAAAAAGATTTTATACAAAGATTTAAACAAATACCACACATATTTCATTTACAAATTTGAATTCATTACAGCATAAATCGTTGCATTTTCTTATGCTATATAAATTAAAATTTGTTTGTTGTTATATAATATTGTTTTGTGTCATTTCGCATTTTGTTCATTGCTCTGTAATTCGTTGAAGAAGTAATTAAATGTGTTGAGGTTTTACGTTACTTTGAACACGCAACAGAATTCACTCTACAAATTGTAGTTAATCCCGACATACTTCTACAGATGGTAATCCCAACGTTGCATTGACTAATAATCCTCTATACATGTATAAAATTTAGTGTTAAATTTATTAAAAAAAAAAAAAGCTCAAATCTTATGGCCTAAAAACCCGCCAAAATAAAGTTTGTGAACAGGTGTGGTTTAAAGAAATATATTTTTGTATTTTTTAAAATACTTACGTAAATTTCAAATTTGGAATTGGATCTGCAGATGATTTGTGACTATTTAAGAAGTCGGGCCAGAATGGTTTTGGCATTCACAGACGAATGGCTGTGGATTGTTTCTGGAAAATGTAAATCGACGACGACAACGATGACGGAATGGAAAAGACAGAGGAAAGAAAGCAAAAAGAAGATTCACAAAATTAGAGATATTAACACTAATTTTGAACTCTTATGAAAAAACGATAATTTTTATTTCAGTTTAAGAACTTAACTATTGTATATAGTACATACTATTTTCAAAGAAATTACCAGCGACGCTAGCGAACTTTCTTTTCTTCCCAACGATTTTAAGCAATTAAATGAATGAAAATATGAGAATATTTTGTTGAAAACTATAATTGTTTCTATGAGCTTCACAAAATTGTAATTTACAACTTGTTATCTTGCTTAAGTATTTGGCACACAAAAGAACATTTTGTGCAAGTTTGTTTTGTAAATTTTGTATTATGTGCTATTTTTATTATTTTCAAGTCATTGTAATAAATGTAGAAATCTTTCAAATTTCACATCGGAATATGTGTTTTTTTTCGTCTACACCAGTGGATCTCAACCTTTTTTTACCCATGGACCCCTTTCCCCTTCGTTTTATCTTGGTGGACCCCTTCATAGCTATTGGACATAAGAACAATTTTCTATTCTTCACTAATATAAATTTTAAGGTTTTAATTATCAAAGAAATAGTATACGATTAAGCTTTATTTTTAAATGAAAACTAATTTAATACAAATAAAATATTCTACTATAATTATAATAATAATTATTATTACTATTTTTAATTAACACAATTGAGTTTTGCCTGTGGACCCCCGGAAATATTACATGGA